TACCACAGGGGTACCTCTAGCAAGTTTCTTTGGGCCCATGGCAGCTTATTTCACAGCCCCACAAGCACTAAACACAATTAAATAATTGTAAAATGTGTGAATGAGATCGCAAGTTAGTGTTCACTCAAGCATAAACAAAGCTAGACTGCTCACGGCGCCTGCGCAGGGACGCGGACAGAGCGGGCCAGTGGACAGGTCCCGTACCCGGCGGTCTGAAAATAGGGGCGCATTCGATAATAGGGACACTGTCTGAAAAAATTGTCTTATTTTCGAAACGTTTGATATGTGATACTTTCGATTTTTGAGGTTCCACTATATGTCTCCTTCGGCATTTGTGATCTTTTCAGATTCCCACGGTGTTTTACGAGCCATTAAACAATTTGATTCCCCTCATCCTGTGGTCCTTCATATTCACCTTTGGTTGCATTGTATAGCTAGCAGAAACAAACTTGTCATTTTCTGTTGGGCCCCTTGACACATTGACGTGCAGGGCAATGAACAGGCAGACACTGCTGCGTGTTTAGAGGTATGTGATCTTTCGGTTTCCTGTAGAGGTATTCCTTTCAGGGACTATTTTACTGTCATCTCTACCTGTCTTCACAACCGATGGCAACAAAGGTGGTCATGTATGCACCATAACAAATTACATTCTATTAAACCACGTTTGCGTTTGTGGCCGTCTTCTTACCACCGTTGTTGTACTCAGGAGACTACACTCTCCCGTCTCTGCACTGGCCATAGTACTCATCCATGGGTATCTCATGGAGCGACACCCTATTCCTCTCTGTGAGATTTGCCGGGTCCCTGTTTTGGTTCATCACTTTCTTGTGGATTGTCCAGTTTACCAGCGAGCTCGCAGAATTTACCTCCACCATCGCCACCACCCTACTCTTCTTTCTTTATCTTCCCTCTTTGCTGACAGCCCTGCCTTTGACTTACAATCACTTTGACCTTTTATCAGCAACTGCTTTACTACACGAACTTTGACGTATAGCCTCTTGCGCCCCTTCCAGCCCTTTTCTTCCCTCACTTCTGAGCCCCTTTCCAATTATGTGTTTATTTACCTGGTACTATTTTCTGCCTCACAGCTCTGCCTGACCCTTGTTGGTTTAGCACTTTATTTGATTATAATAATAAAATTAAAGCAGGAGCACCATAGGCACAGCTTGAGAACATTGTCAACATCCATGGCTCAGAATTTAAGCCTAGTTCTAACAGATATCAGAAATATTGCCTGAACAAAGGTAGATGCTTTCAAAATGAGCCTGGGCCATTACCTTCAAATGCCAGATCAGCCAGGCTTTGATTGCTGTGTTGGCCAATGGGCTGTTGACAGCAGCAGCATCCTAGTTGACTAATTAGTCAACTAGGAAGCATGACCTTAGGCTGGGCTGTTAGGACAAGAAAAACCACTGAAACCAGTTACAAGTATGTCACATGCATGCATGCGTGCGTGCGTGCGTGCGTGCGTGCGTGCGTGCGTGCGTGCGTGCGTGTGTGTGTGTGTGTGTGTGTGTGTGTGTGTGTGTGTGTGTGTGTGTGTGTGTGTGTGTGTGCATGTGCGTGCGTGCATGTGCGTGCGTGCGTGCGCGAGTGCAGGTTTACCTGGATTATCTGGAGAGGGATTTGGAGGTCAATGCCCCCATGGCTCGGTCTGAGACCAGGCCTCATGGTAGATCAGGGTGTGATCAACCAGGCTGTTACTGCTGGCTGCACACAAACTGATTTACAAACCACAGTCTGGTTGGTCAGGTACTGACTTTAGGTGCTTGTCCAGTGCCTTCTTGAAGATAGCCAGGGGTCTATTGGTAATTCCCCTTATGTATGCTGGGGGGCAGTTGAACAGGCTTGGGGCTCCGCACACTTATTGTGTTGTCTCTCAGTGTACTCGTGGCGCCCCTGCTTTTCATTGTGGGAAATGTTGCATCTCCTGCCGAGTCTTTTGCTTTCATGGGGAGTGATTTTCATGTGCAAGTTTGGTACTAATCCCTCTAGGATTTTCCAGGTGTACATTATCATGTATCTCTCTTGCCTGCTCTCTAGGGAATACAGATAAAGGGCCTTCAACCGTTCCCCGTAATTTAGGTGCCTTATCATACTTAATGTGTGCCATGAAAGTTCTTTGCACACTCTCCAGGTCAGCAATTTTGTCTGCCTTGAAGGGGGCAGTTAGTGTACAGCAGTATTCCAGCCTAGAGAGAACAAGTGATTTGAAGAGGATCATCATGGGCTTGGCATCCCTAGTTTTGAAAGTTCTCATTATCCATCCTGTCATTTTCCTAGGAGATGCGGTAAATACACTGTTGTGGTCTTCGCAGGCGAGGTGATAGCATATGTATGTGAGTTAGTGTCATCTGAATAATGTTTCATTTCTTCATTTCTATGTGGCTGAAGGCCACAGAAATGGTTTCAAGTTACTTTACTTTTCAACCAACCAGCAAGTAGCTACCACCTTTTATGCAAGTTATATTCCAGAAAAAACGATGCTATACGTGAAAACACAATAGGTAGAATGAACTGGTAGGAAATATCGAGTTGCAGTCCATACCATAGGAAAAAAAAAAACTGCTTTTCTTTTAAATATTCAATTTACCTAAAATAATAATCAAACTACGAAGATTTTAAAAGGCGTGCATATGTTAGGTGCTTGTTGTTATAGTATGATGCAGGAGGATGGTTTAACCCTTTCAAGGTTGGAACCCCTGTTTTGAGAATTGCTCTCAGGGTACCCCCCACCCCCCCACCCCAATTATTTTTGCTTGTGAAATGAGGTAATGAAACCAAAAGTACAAAATTTAATAGACAGCTTATGGAATTACGCTCTTGCAGAGATAGCGGTCACATCAATATTTACGCACCTGTGATTTTGCCCACTTGAAGCCCTATTTTTGGCCACACCATTGTTCCGGTCAACCAAACACAGCTTTTTCGCTAGTATTCCTTTTATTCTATCAACTGAATACAATAAACTACTCATTTACTTATTTCAGCAACTTAATAAAGTGATCAGAATTCAGTAATTGGGCCAATTTCACACAGTTCAAAAATTGCCACGTTTAAAAATAGCATCCAGAATAAATAATGTAAATATTCTTGGTACAGTACTAAAAAAAAATTTCCTCTGTTCATTAGTTATGTCCCCAGGCCTTTCCTTCATTACACTTGCTTTCCATTTTGAATTTTTATTCACACAAATATAGTATGTAGTTACTGTTATGCACACTGCTGCATTATTGTAATAATTGTAAAAATAATGGAAGCACATTTTTGGACACAGTTGGACGTACATTGGATGAGTGATGTAATTTCTGTGCTCTGGAATATCAGCAAAAATCAAACATTTCTTCTACTTTGAGCTCAGTTTCAAGCTCCTTTCATTCCTGAAAACAAAATCATCTCTATTTCTGTAATATATCTTCCATTTTATCAAGTGAGACCAAGAAACCGAGAATACACCATGAAAAAATACAAAAATACACCACAAAGTTGCTGTTTTAAACCAAAAAGTCAGTTTTCTCCCTTCATTATGCACTGCTTGCTGCAGGATTTTTTTTATGTGGTGCACACTTACTGCATAGACCCTTTTGCTTATATCTAGACCCAGATTTACTGTTCATAACTTACCTTAGTGAGCTGAGCTCATGGTGTACTGCTGTGGGACTGACCTACGCTTCAAAGCCATAGTACAACAGGACACGCCCTTAAAGGATTAATGTAGCATAGCTCGATGAAAATTAAACAATGTGAATACACTTACTGTACAATTCTGGTTGTTGCTTAAGCTGCTTGATGTCAGTGGAGAGGTCAAGTGTGGCACTACTGGGCTACAGATGAGTTGGCTGGGTTGGATGAAGTGGATGGCTGGGTTCTCCACTGAACTTTACCTTATGAAGCTTATTGCACGCTCTGACACTATTAAACCATGACTAAAAGTGCATTTGTTTGCAGGATTTTCTTCCTGCTCGCTCACCATTGTATAGTAAGATGAGGCTTTCTTACAAATCACAAGAAAAAATTAAGTGGCTCCAGTCATTCGGCATTTTTTTCAGTTTTATTTAGCTGTACGTATTGGGTGCTTTCACATTTTTTCAACAAGTCACAGTTTCAGTTACTCATCACACTAGTTCTTATCTTCTCATTGTCTTGAATTTAACAGATTATTCATTCCTTCACCCCATAGGCCTTGGCTGCATCAACCACACTTCCACCACCTGTATACATTCCTGTTACCCTTCTTTTTCTTCACTAGCAGCATAATTTTATACTTAAACTACTACTTGGCTCATTCATCTACACTAGATTTCTTTTTTCATACCTTGATTAATATCCAAACATGACAGGGCAATAAAAATGTCAGAAATGGAGTGATAACAGATTAGAGAGTAATCATATTGTATGCTTCCATGAGGCATCTGGTGTGGCATCGGAGGGATGCAAGGGCATGAGTTTATAAACACAGCTAGGTCTACCGTTAAACAAAAAGAGGCCTGATGCACATGGAGGGGACTTTGCCTGCCTGTGCCTCTGTAATGTCTGGCCATGGTGGAGTACAAGAAGAAAATTAGTAGAGCTGCCTCGAAAGGTGGTGAACCTTTGGAGCAAACAGTAGAAATAGATACAAAAAAAAAATTTATCATGAGCAGGTGGGAATGCAGTTGGAGGCATGAAAGGGAGTGGTGTAATGTTTCCCCTTTCTTCAATTTATCAAATGTGCTATGTAAATGTTTTCAGACATTTCAAATTCTGATTGATCCCATGTTTAGAGGTACAGGACATACAAGCAGTACATACATACCTATTTAACAAAAATTTGTATTAATCTTTATGGATCTTTATATTTCGTTAATTTGTGTAGGTAGGCTATCCATGACTAATTTTTATCGTATACATCATTATAGCATATTGTACTATTCAGAAAATTTTCCTTCTTATCAGTACTGTATATGCATGAACTAGCTGAAATTCATTGCAAAACTCTTAAATGTAGTATCTTTTTACAGATATGGACTACCAACACGAACTGACTACCGCTTGATAGTGGAGAATTTGTCAAGTCGAGTGTCATGGCAGGTTAGTGGAGAACCAGAGAATAACCTATAACAGGCCTTGGTCATAGTTTTTATTCTTTAATGTTTGTCTTTGTTGGGGATGACTGCATTGCTACACTGCACCATTACTTTGATACCTCATTTCTTCTGTCACCTTTTAAAAGTAAAGTTTTATTGGCCTTATAAATCAAGAGTAGTTAAATGTAAAGTTTTTCTTATGTTTTATTAAACTGTGATATAAGCAGAAATATGATGCTTCTAGATTTTGTTTTGTTTTAAAATTTGTTTAAGGTTACAGAAAGACATTGGGTATATGTTTACTGTATGTAGTTTTGGTGCAGATAATTGTGAGAGTAGGGACAGTTTGTGGACTTGTGCCATCACTGGGTCAGGTTTTTGTAGGTTTGTTGCTTCATCTGCTCTTCATAAGTGGCTGCAAACTTTAGGGAAATGACGTTTTTTTCATGCTCAACACTACAAGTTTTGATATATAGTTCTTGTAAAATATATACCCAGTTGAAATAAGACTATGTAATGACTTTTCCTATCACAATTCTAAGTTTAAACTGTGCACATGTTATTTATAGTATATATTTACACCATATACAGCCAAAATTTTATTATTTTTGTGTGTTCTCAGAGTTTTAGTGACATGTTTGAATTTTTATATAAAACTCTTACTAGTGTTTAACTTCTTTCTACTCAAGTATTTGAGGTTATGAGGTGTTAAAGAAAAAATAGAACTTCAGACTCGGTTAGTTTTGTTGCCAAAAGCAACATTTCATGTATTAATATCCCTGAATGCCTTGACTACTGAAATAATGCTTCACTGGTAATGCTGATGTTTCGTTCTGATTATCGTCCCCACTGGAAAAATTTATTCATGGTCAAGGCAAGTCAAATCTGCCAAGATGAATGCTTATTTGGTAATGCTCATAACTTATGTAAAGTTTAAAGTCTTGAAAACGTTATTAATGTGTTGTATAGTACATGTATACTGTATTTTTATTATCTCTCTCATTCCCTGTACGTTGACTATTTTCCTGCGCCTTTGGGCAGCTTTTTCTTGACGTTCGTATCCTGTGCTGCATAAGTTATTATTTATATATGTTCTGTTATTTCTTCAAAATTTTGACATGTTGTGGGGGGAATGAGAGTTCATAAAGATCAAGGGTTATTACTAGAATAAAAAAAATTATCAATTTTGAAGGCAAGTATAGTGCTGTATGTGAAAGTAAGGTGAATAATAATAATTGAACCACAGTATAGTCTTTGCTTCAATGGCTTTAGAAGTTACACTGTTCTCTGGGTTCATTATTCTTTGGGAGAGAGAAAAATTTGTCCTGCACTTTGCTTTGATGAGCTTAAAATTGTCTTCTGTTTGTCTAGTTGGAACTTCAGCTTAAATTTCCTAAATATTACTATGATATATAAAAATCATGTCATGCCTCATTTGAGGAAATGAATATCCTGTAGTCCTCAGCCTGTAAAGATTTGTTTCGCTGTAGTTGTCAGTTTGTATACTTGCAGATTTTGCTAGAATTTTATAACCTCTGCTTTTGTAATAAATATATTTATTGAAGGAATAATATGGAAAATCTGTCATAAGTTATCCAAAACCAGTGAAAGTTGCAGAATTTTTATTAATAATAAAGATTTTTAACCAAAAATAAGCAAAAACAAAAAATGCCAGAAACTCTGGGAGCATAAATATTGCCAGGACTGTTCATCTGTGCTAACACTGCTCAGTGTCAAGTTACTGAAACCAGCATTTTTCCAACCATTGTAAATCCAGAGCCTAGGTGGAGATAATATGCTTTCTAATTTTGTGGAAAGCTTGTACACATACAGAAACATTATGCTGGAAAGTATGTTTATAATTAGATAAATGTCAAGACACAAAGAGGTAGATATACAGAGGGAGAGAGATAAAGAGAGAGATTAGTGTATCCACAGAACAAAGTGATTTTGAGCAACTAACAATACTGCGACCAGCTGGGAATCTAACCCAGGACGTTTAGCCCAGCTCCAGGGAACCAAGCCCTAACCCACTTGACCACCATGCTACAGAAATGAGGCACCCAGTAAATACACTGGATCAGCCACTCCTGATGCAAGTACATTTGTAGCCAGGGGTACTACAGGACTAATTTCATTCTACTCCCATTTGGAAGGCCAGTCTCACAAACAGAACACACATTAATGCATGCAATAAACAAAATGGCTACTCGCATTTAGAAGGCCAGCCTCACAAACAGTACACACATTAATGCATTCACTAAAAGTAGGTCTTAGGTATGAGTAATGTCACCATGGTTGTTTAATATATTTATAGATGTGGAAGAAGTAAATGCTAGGGTGTTGGGGAGAGGGGTGGGATTAAATTATGGGGAATCAAGTACAAAATGGGAGTTGACAGTTATATTTTGCTGATAATACTGTGCTTATGAGAGATTCTAAAGAAAAGTTGCAAAGGTTAGTGGGCAAGTTTGGGAGGGTGTGTAAAGTTAGAAAGTTGAAAGTGAACATAGATAAGAGTAAGGTAAGGGTATCAAACGATTAAGATAACGAAAAATTGAATATCACATTGGAGAGAGGGAGTATGGAAGAAGTGATTGTTTTCAGATATTTGGGAATTGACGTGTCAGCAGATGGGTTTATGAAGGATGAGGTTAATCGTTGAATTGATTAAGGAAAAAAGGTGAGTGATGTGTTGAGGTATCTGTGGAGACAAAAAAACGTTGTCCATGGAGGCATAGAAGGGAATGTACGAAAGTATAGTGGTACCAACACTCTTATATGGATGTGAAGCTTAGATTGTAAATGCTGCAGCAGGAGGCGGCTGGAGGCAGTGGAGATGTCCTGTCTAAGGGCAATGTGTGGTGTAAATATTATGCAGAGAATTCGGAGTGTGGAAATTAGGAGAAGCTGTGGAGTTAATAAAAGTATTAGTCAGAGGGCTGAAGAGGGGTTGTTGAGGTGGTTTGGTCATTTAGAGAGAATGGACCAAAGTAGAATGACTTGAGTGTATAAATCTGTACGAAAAGGAAGGCGGGGTAGGGGTGGTTCTCAAATAGGTTGGAGGGAGGTGGTGAAGGAGGTTTTGTGGGCAAGGGGGCTTGGACTTCCAGCAAGCGTGCATGAGTGTGTTAGATAGGAGTGAATGGAGACGAATGGCTTTTGAGAGCTGACAAGCTGTTGGAGTATGAGCAGGGTAATACTTAGTGGAGGGATTCAGAGAAACAGATTATTTTTATGTAGCCAGATTTGAGTACTGGAAATGGGAAGTACAGTGCCTGCACTTTAAAGGAGGGGGTTTGGGATATTGGCAGTTTGGAGGGGTATGTTATATATCTTTATATATGCTTCTAAACTGTTGTATCTGGACATCTCTGCAAAAACAGTGATTATGTATGAGTGAGGTGAAAGTGTTGAATGATGATTAGAGTATTTTCTTTTTGGGGATTTTCTTTCTTTTGGGTCACCCTGCCTCAGTGGGAGATGGCCGACTTGTTGAAAAAAAAATATATATATAATGAAGAGAAATTTATTGATTGTGAGATAGAGATTACAATTGATTTTGGGAGGTACTACAGTAGTGTTCAGTGATTTGTGAACAGAGAAAATAATTGTGGGGACCTAAGTGCTGAAGTTGGAGAAACTATTCTATAGGGTGTAATAGATAAATCTGGAAAACCAGGGGGAAATGATAGTGGGGGCCTCAAACTGAGCTAAGTATAGCAAGAGACTTGGCAATAGGTCATATACAGTGGATCCCCGCATAGCGATATTAATCCGTGCAAGAGAGCTCATTGTTATGCGAAATTATCATTATGCGAATGAATTTTCCCCATAAGAAATAATGGAAATCAAATTAATCCGTGCAAGACACCCCAAAGTATGAAAAAAAAAATATTTTTACCACATGAAATATTAATTTTAATACACACAAACTGAAAAAGGCATGCACAATTACATGACACTTACTTTTATTGAAGATCTGGTGATGATTGATGGGATGGGAGGAGGGGAGAGTCTTAGTGTTTAGAAGGGGAATCCCCTTCCATTAAGACTTGAGGTGTCAAGTCCTTTTCTGGGGTTACTTCCCTTCTTCTTTTAATACCACTAGGACCAGCTTCAGAGTCACTGGACTTCTGTCGCACAACATATCTGTCCATAGTGGCCTGTACCTCTCGTTCCTTTATGACTTCCCTAAAGTGTTTCACAACATTGTCAGTGTAATAGTCACCAGCACGGCTTGCAATAGCTGTGTGAGGGTGATTTTCATCCATAAAGGTTTGCACTTTCAGCCACATTGCACAGATTTCCTTAATCTTTGTAGTAGGCAATTTCTTCAATTTCTATCTCCCCTCCTTCGAACCAGTTTCCTCAGGTCTGGCCTCTTGCTGTTGAAGTTGATCTATCAGCTCATCAGTGGTTAGTTCTTCATTGTCCTCCTCCACCAACTCTTCCACATCATCCCCACTAACCTCCAACCCCAAGGACTTTCCCAATGCCATAATGGATTCCTCAACTGGCATAGGATTCTCAGGGTTAGCCTCAAACCCTTCAAAATCCCTTTTGTCTACACATTCTGGCCACAGTTTCTTCCAAGCAGAGTTCAAGGTCCTCTTAGTCACTCCCTCCCAAGCCTTACCTATAAGGTTTACACAATTGAGGATATTAAAGTGATCTCTCCAAAACTCTCTTAGAGTCAGTTGAGTTTCTGAGGTCACTACAAAGCACCTTTCAAACAGAGCTTTTGTGTACAGTTTTTTGAAGTTTGCAATAACCTGCTGGTCCATGGGCTGCAGGAGAGGAGTGGTATTAGGAGGCAAAAACTTGATGTTAATGAATTTCATGTCCCCATAAAGTCGCTCTGCCACGTCTGTAGGATGACCAGGGGCATTGTCTAACACCAGGAGGCACTTAAGTTCTAATTTCTTTTCAGTTAGGTAATCTTTCACATTGGGGGCAAATGCATGGTGTAACCAGTCATAGAAAAAGTCCTTAGTGACCCAT